TTTTTTTTTTGAGTTGGAGTCTCACTCTATCGCCCAGACTGGAGTACAGTGGCCGCTCCCGGCCACCACAGCCTCGACCTGCTGGGCTCTGGCGATCACTCCGCCTCAGCCTTCCGAGTAGCCGGAATTACAGGCGCGTGCTACCACGCCCGGCTAATTTTTTGATTTTATTGTAGAGATGAGGTCTCGCCTGCCCAGGCGGGTCTCGAACCTGCGGGCGGGCTCAAACAATCCACTCACCTCAGCCTCCCAAAGGCGCGGGATTACAGGCTGAGCCACCGAGCCCCGCTGGTGATGTTTTTATGGAACTGAAACAAATCCTGCATGATGTGACCTGGAAATGTAGAATTTAAAGACATTGGTGAGCACTGGATTGAGTGAATCGATTGGTATGTGAATTATAATACACTGCTTCGAAAAACAAAAGCATGAGGAAGCAGCAGGAGGCCCAGGTGGTAGAGGAGCTTGCAAGGCATCCCACAGAGGCAGAACAAGCTCCTGATAGTGCTCCTGGGGAACCTTTGGAATTTTCTACTGGGCAAGGGATTTTCTACTGGGCAAGGAGGGGAATGTGAGGGCACACGTGGGCGTGGAGAATGTTACCAGTGTGAGATGGCAGTGAGGTGAGAAGTCGGGGTGGGATTGAGACCAGGTAGGTGACAAAGCCTGCTTTCTCTCACTGTGTGGTTGGGCCTCAGTCTCCCTATCTATCAAAAGGGGGTTATATGGTGCAGCTCCTTTGGAAAAGTCTGGCAGGTCCTCAGAAGTTGAAACATGCAGTTTCCATGTGACCCAGCATTCCACTCTTAGATAAATGCCAAGAGAAAGAAAACGTGTGTCCACACAGAAAAGTACACATGAGTATTCATAGCAGCGATTGTTAATAGCCACAAAGCGGGAAACAACCCAAATGTACATCAGCTAATGAATGGATATATAGATATATAAATATCTATATAATGGAATATCATTCACCAATTAAAAGAATGAAGTGCTGATGCTACAGCACAGATGAGCCTTAAACATACTAAGTGAAAGAAGCCAGTCTCAGCAGACTACATGCATGTTCCCATTTTTTATGAACTGTCCAGAATAGGTAAATCCATAGGGATGGCAGATCAGTGGTTGCCAGGACTTTGGGGAGGAAGAATGGGAAGCAACTGCTAACAGGTATGGGTGTTTTTCTGGGGATAATGAAGATGTTCTCAAACAACATGGTCATCACACAACTGCACAACTGTGAATACACTAAAATCTACTGTGTAGTACATTTTATTTTATTTGAGACAGGGTCTCACTCTGTAGCCCAAGCTGGAGTGCAGTGACACCATCCTGGCTCACCACAGCCTCCACCTCCTGAGCTCAAGGGCCTCACCAAGTAGCTGGGACTACAGGCATGCGCCACCATGCCAGCTTATTTGTTTGTTTTATTTAATTTTTTTGTAGAGACAAGGTCTCGCTATGTTGCCTAGGCTGGTCTCGAACTCCTGGGCTCAAGCGATACTCCTGCCTCAGCCTCCCAAAGTGCTGGAATTATAGGCATGAACCACTGATCTCAGCCCATAGTACATTGAAAACAGATGATCTGTGACTCATGGATTCAATCTCAAAACGTTAAAAAAGGCAGCAGGTGCCGGGTGCAGTGGCTCATGCCTATAATCCTAGCACTTTGGGAGGCAGAGGCGAGAGGATTGCCTGAGCCCATGGGTTGGAGACCAGCCTCGCAACTTGGCAAGACTTTGTCTCTACAATAAATCAAAAATCAGCCGGGTGCAGTAGCACCTGCCTATAGTTCCGGCTACTTGGAAGGCTAAGGTGGAAGGATCGCCTGAGCCCAGCAGGTCAAGGCTGCGGCGCCCATGAGCGTCCCACTGCACTCTAGCCTGGATGACAGAGTGAGACTCCTACTCAAAAAAAAAATTTCAACCTCCTTTCCTAAAAAGTTGGTTTGGAAGATAAATTTAAAAAACATTGGCAGGCCAGATGTGGTGGCTCACGTCTATAATCCTAGCACTTTGGGAGGCTGAGGCAGGAGGATCACTTGAGGCCAGGAGTTCAACACCAGCCTGGCAACGTAGTGAGAACTTTTCTCTACAAAAAAAAAAAAAATCAAAAAATTAGCTGGGCATGGT